ACACTCACACACACACACACACACACACACACACACAATTAGGTCCATTCTTTAGCTGACTGAGGATGTGTTGTTTCTGTCGACTCTAAAAAAGCTCCACAATTTACAGATTTAAAAAAATAATTTATTCATTATTCCTACAACTGCAGTCGACACTGTCCATAACGACCATCCATTTCCGAGGATAAGAGCGATTGTCTTAGACAGGTGGACGGCTTGAGCACTGTTATTATTTTATGAAGAATACAAAAGGGATATTAATTCTGTTTTCTATTTTCTGAAACTTCAAATGTAGGAAACATGCAAACTTGCTCTCTGAATGCATTCCTGGAAATGAAAAAGCAGACGGCTTAGCCAAAGAAGGAGTCAAAATGACCCAGATTGAAGATGGCATGTATCTCTCAGAGTCAAAAACACTAATAAAAACTGCTTTAAGAAACAGATGGAAAAGGTCCCACCCTAAGCACAACAGACATGACCCCTACTACATACTAAATAGAGCGGACCAGGTCACAATCTGTTAGACTCCGTTGTGGCCACAACAGACTCAAACACCATAAATATGCACACCAAATTAAAAGTGGGAGAAACAGCTACCTGTAAATGTGGACATGACCAAGAGGATGCCAACCATATCCTTCAGCACTGCCCGCGCTACGCCACCCTTCGTGGCAGAATGTGGCTCCCCTTGAGAGAAAACTCTATGGCAGTCTTTCAGAGTTGAAGCGAACTACACAGTTTGTACGCGACATCGGACTGACTGTCTAGCTGCTATCATCGAGAACGAGGAAGAAGAAGAAGAAGCTCTCTAATTTGTGTATAGCATATCGAAATGTGCCTTTAATTGGCTGATCGGACATAATGAGTCAGCTAGGTTTAAAGAGTTAACCAAAAGAAGAACTGTGTCAACTCTTGTTGTTGCCAAAATTAACGAGAAAATGGCGGCTAAAGTTTGGTAACTTATGTAGCTTGAGAGTCAATGAAAATTGAAAATTAATTTCATATTGATTTTGTGTCTTTAATCAACGTACTAGTTCTGTGGGTTATTGAGCTTTTTTGTCAACGTACTAGTTCTGTGAACATTTTGTCAACGTACTAGTTCTGTGAACATTTTGTCAACGTACTAGTTCTGTGAACATTTTGTCAACGTACTAGTT